ACTTTCTTAAAATTATCCTATCCTAACATAAGTCAAGTTACAACCTGAAAAGTCCTCTAATGTGTGTGTTGTGATTTCTATGATTAACTCTACTAGAACATGATCAAATTAAGTTTAATTGATTTTTCATGTTGATGGAATGATCACCCAATGCAATGAGTGAATTATAGTGAGTTGAGAGATAGGTTGAGTACTCGTCAATGTTGAGAACGTTTTCTGAATTTGTCGGATAGAAGTTGGAAGCTAGGACATGGTCAGGTAAAAGAAAAATTCAATTTGGTGATGTTCTATTGTTATTATGCGACTTGTTGTCTGTTGAAATGTGCAGTTACAGGCGAGTTACTTGAGGATAGGCAACGATTCAAATTTAGGATTGTGATGATAGTCTGTCATTGTATATATTTAGTCAAAGAATCAGAGCAAAACAATTGAAAGTCGATTAAATATAAGGAGGAATGACCAAAGAATGAGGGGGAAATAGCTAAGGATGCAAATTGTAGACTTAGTGAAAATTTGAGTGAAAAAGGAGAAAAAAAGAGTGAAGCTTTGGAAATAATTACATCCACCATCGCGCACGCAATAGGGCATTAAAAGTTGCACCGCGCACGCGATTCAAGATATCATGTGTGTGAGAGTCACTTTTTTGGGCATTTTTCTGACGCGTTCTAGTCTATTTCGGCGCCTTTAAAGGGAGAAAATTTTTCACTTTCACAAGGATTACGAAAATTGGAGACTAGAGCATAAGTTTGGCAGCACAAAATGATATTTTTAGAACATTTGAAGCCATTGGAGGCCATATTTTCAAGGGACTTCTCATGTTATTTCTATTTATCGATTATGGTATTATTTTATAAATAATGTGTAACTAAATTCTCTTAGGTTAGGTTGTGTGATGATGAACCTTATTTAATCTTGTTGGCATTATATGTTGGTTTGACTTTGTATGAATCCTTTGAATTATAATTTTATTAAGTTGTTGCTTATTCTTAATGTTTTTTTATTTGAGATACTTTATTAATCTGATATTGGACACATTGGGATTCCTGACCCGTACCCTCTGTGTTGGACCTAGGACAATTGTTCTACTTACGCTGGTTAACTAGGGATAAGAGACCCCAAGTAATGGCAAAGGAAATTAACGATCTGTACATCGCCTAACACTGCTTACGTTGGCGGACTAGGAATAGAAAGTTCTGAGTAATTGTTAGTGAGTTATTTTGTGGGGGACTGAATATAACAGTTTTGTTAATTCATCGTGAGATTATAAGGATAAGACCATTCATATAATGCATCATACATCAACAAAAAAGGATAAGGGGATTCTAATACACAACCTGACCGCTTTCGTGATATTGTTTTCTCATTTAATTACTTTTTGCATTGAAACTTGCAAATCCCACCCCCTCATTCTTTATTGTTTTACTTTAAAATGTACAAATCTTGTCTTGCTCAAACACAGTCCTTGTATATTCGACATTTTTATTACTACGACATTATCGATACACTTGCTGAGAAGTCATCAAGTACAACTGAGGAGTCATTTGTTTAGTTAACCTGTACTTGAAGTTAGGTGAAGTTTAGGTTTGGAAGAGTAAACATATGGCAGCAAACAACATAGGGTGTTTGGTAATATATTTGCACATTTACTATTACTAAGATTTTATAACATTTGTGCTACACCGTTACTAATATCTTATCTGAACCATTTTTAGACATAGATTTTCTCTCACTTTCCACGCTTCTCTGACTGATTATGAATACAGATTATAAATACAATAGATAACGTGTGCTTATGTTGTAGGTATGATTTCACACAAATTCAATTTAGTATTGTTTTACTATGTAGGTATGGTTTCACACAAGTTCAATTTAGTATTGTCTTACTATGATTCTTTCCATGGTTGCATATTGTATGTTCTATATCAACGGTGTGGTAAAGATTATTATGATGCATGGAAACTAAGGTTGTTTCTTTCTACTGTTTATTTTAGGTTCCATAAGTCATGGTTGACAAAACATTTCCTTTTTATACAACTATGCAAGAATCTTTTTTGGTACATTTTATTGGAGATTGAGAGATTGGAAGCTAACTAAATTTATTCGATTTTATACAGGAAGTTTAATTTCTCTAAATTGTATAAAAAATTCATCTTCTTATTTTATAACATGGTAAGTCTTATGTTTTTTTATAGGTTGAATTTCTTTCGATATGCCTAATTTTTTAAAAATGACTTTTCAAATAGTTACTAGCATCTAAGGTAGATATATAATATGATTCGTTAAACTTGTTATTTTTTTATAGTATTTATGTGTTTGTTGATGTCTTGGTATTTTTCTCTTTCAGGTTTTTGTATTTTTTTCTTTAGAGTGGTGGCCTCAAGTTCAACAATAGAATTTTTGAGTTTGTTCATGAAGAAAAAATCTAACTAATACTTCTCTACTATTATTTATAAAAAAAAAAAAATACTTTTTAAATTTATTGAATAAATAATATATCTAAATAAAACATAGATCAAATACATTATTATTTATTGTATAGATCATTAGTTATTGTATGAATTTGAAAAGTAAAATTTTTTTCTTGTACATAGAACAATGGTAGTATCAAATAATATAAAAAGATGGTTTCTTTGTGGTTTTTAGAATGGTTGTCTCTCTCCCTTTTGGTACTCATTTTGAAGTTTGAACATCCCCTTATTTTGATTTATCTATCCTTTACTATTTCTCTTTTATATAAAACTTTAACCGTTGGCATCATAATCTATACAATATATAAAAAAAATATTTTATTTTGGTGAGACTTATTTTCTACTATTTTTACCCTTACTTTATTATGTAATTTACTTAATAGCTTCTTATTAATAACTTCCGCGTAACTTTTTATTATTAACTTTCATATATTATATTTTTTAAAAATTTTATTTAAACAAAAAATACTGTTTATATTTTCATTCATGCGCACTAAAAAAACTGTCAGACTGACACTGAACGCTAGTAATTAATAACGCAATTTATACCTATTTTGACTAGATATTCAAGAACTTTTAAACTTTTGAAATAGATGTCCAAACAAAGGAGAGAAAGTAAACCTGAAACAATAACCATATATTTGATATCAAATTTTAGGATAATAAAATGTTTTTATCACATGGTTACTATCAAACATAATATATATATATATATATATATATATATATATATATATATATATATATATACATATATATATATATATATATATATATACATATATATATATATATATATATATATATATATATATATATATATATATATATATATATATATATATATATATATATATATATATATATATATATATATATATATATATATATATATATATATATATGTCTTACAACCTATTTTAATTTCTAATTTTCAACGCATTTTTTTCAATTTTACCTTCTAATTAATATTTCTTTCTCCATTCTCAGAACAATTTAATAAAAATATCTTTTCTTTTTTATTTATTTTTCTTAATATACGTGAAATATGCAACTAGATCACTAATAAAAGATTGGAGGGAGTACATTTTATACCCGCATCAAATAAATTTAACCATGCATACACTTGAAATAAAATCATTGTTGTATATATAAGAGAAATAACTCATACCCTACCATTGACATTGTTGTATATATAAGAGAAATAACTCATACCCTATCATACCCTACCATTGACACTTTCGATGCTCCCCCATATTCTCCAAGACTGACTGACGCACAATATGTTACTAATTTAAACTGAAAAATTATACGTATTTAAAAACTGGTAACTAAAATGACAAGCCTTTTTTTCCAGCTAATACGATAGGTATATTAAAAAACTTACGATAGATAAGTATAATCTTATTTTGTACTGTTTTGGAAAAATTCTTACCTTATACCCCTATTTAAAATAAAATTAAAAAAAGTTAACTTCAAATAAATAAAATTATTCCTCAATTCCTTTTCCTTTCCTTCTAAACTTCTCTATCCAAACAAATACTAAAAATGTTCATTTCAAATGAGAAAGTTCTCCCTCACTTCCTTTTCCTTTCCTTCTAAGCTTTCTCTATCCAAACAAATACTAAAAATGTTCATTTAACATTTCAAATGAAAAAGTTCTTCCTCACTTCCTTTTCCTTCCCTTCTAAATTTCCCTATCCAAACAATTATATTAATTCAGCATCGGTATAGCTGATTCCATTTAGGAGATACCATTTTTGCAAGTCTTTCTTTTAAAAAAAAAACACACAAGGTTACAACAGTAATTTGTGTAATCGGCAGTGAACTGCTAAAGGCTAAAGGTAGTTTCACATAAATAGAACACAAACCAACTAGTTTGTAACAGAAATCTAGATAGCAACCAAGTTTGTTTACGGATAGCATAACTACTCATCTCTTTTGTCATGTAAAATGAAAACATGAAACACCAAATCCTGCATCACTGCTATATTTTTCACCTTAGTGGTTTATTTAAACTATAAATCAGTTCTAACTGCGAGAAAATCCATTTTCCCGCTTCTGCTCATGAATAAAATACGGATAAATACGGATAAGTTGAATATTGATGCTCTGAATCCACATTTTTTTGTATCACTGTTCTAAATCCTATAAGACCATATAATACAAAAGTCTGTGTCAAACTGATAAGACTCGCCTGAGCAAATTAACATTTATATCATGTTGGCAAAAATAGGATTACTTAGCTCACATTTTAACACTTGGAAGAGATCAAGAACAGACTCCAAATTTTATAATTATTCAACTAGAAGCTACATCCGCAATACAAGATGCAATTCTCAAATTCATATAGTACATGGCACAAAATTTCCCAAAAGAATTGGAAAAAAAAATCCTTACATGATAGTATTTGATCTATATAAGGTGTTTACCAGGATAATGAGCAGCAAACAGAAGTCAAATAATTTATTGAGGACCTGAGGGTGTGATGTAAACATTACTGATCTAACGCCTGATACGTGCTCTGCATAATCATTTACTCTCAGCATCATACAAATCCGTTCTGGGTATCGCCATTAAGGAGAAACATGACAAGAAAATATAGATTGACTGAAAAAGTAGTCAATGGATTCATTGAATTTGGCCAATTACAAGGTCAAAATTCTGAGTTAGAAACTTACAAGTTATGTTACCATCCAATGAATGAAATTTAACTCTAGTTATACAAGGAAATATAGCACATAAATTTGACCAGACTAGACAACATGTGAGTGGGAAATGAAATGCTTTCCACCATATATTTGGTCATTTATTAGTTATTGTATTCTACAGTTTGATACCTTTCAAAATCCAAAAATTATTGAAGAATGAGGATCTTTTAGTAACACTATGGCTCGCATGTGCCCTACTTAGTATTTACTGTCATAACTCATTTAGGGTTAGTTGTGGCCAGGGCCATCATTGAGGGCGTGTAAGGCGGGCTACAATATAGAACCTCACATTTTTCAGGGTTAAGCTATAGCTAAATGGAGCTCATAAATATTTGTCAGGTTAAATCGTGATTAAATAGGGTCTTTTTATATTTTCTTTGTTAAACTGTGACTAACCTACAATGAGCCTCCAAAATCATGAGACGGCTCTGGTCAAGTCAATGAAAATTTCAACATTCATAAACTGATCTTCAACTCCAACTACTTCTCTGTCTACATACATAATATCATGACTTTGACTTCAGGTAAAGGGCAATGTATGAGTAATGCATAAAAATGAAAATGCCAAACTAACACCTTATCTGTCCATCATTGGAGTTGAAGTATTACCCTTTTACAATACCAATGGACTAGTAGCAGTTGGCAGTCCTAAATATCAATCCTCAACACCCTAACTGATCTTAACCCTTCGACTACCTCCTCTAAAGTCAAAATTATAGCATTATAACCGTAATGAATGAAAATTAACTGAAATTGGAAACAACACTATTGAAAATCAATAAACAACAGTCATTGATAGTAATATCTAGTAAACAACAACAACAACAACAACCAAGCCTTATCCCACTAAGTGGGGTTAGTGATATCTAGTCTACATGTAAAAATTATTTTGTGAAGGAATTCAAGGAAAAATACATGAGCTGTGTAAGCCCCTTCTTAGCAACCAAATTTTGACTAATGTTAACACTTCATTGAATATAGTGAATCCAGTTTAACAACAGAAAAATTACTCACCACACCAAAATTTTAGGACCTGATCAGTTTGCAATTATTTCTTGATTTTATTTCCTGTATACGATTCATTTTCAATTATAAAAGTACTACTTTGCTTTCCCTCTGTTTTCCATTTTCAAAAATTAGTATGACAAGTCGTGAAGTAATATTCTGATTGTTTTCATTGTGTGCTACATGAGAACTTTGAAAATAAGAAACAAAGTGACAAAATAAACACGAAATAAAAGTAGAAATTTGTTTCCCAAAACAAATCGGCCTTTAGGTGTCTCAAATAAATTATGGGAAGGGCGCTCCTACTTTCGGTGCCTATCATTGACACTAACCAGATAAGATGAAGCCAGAGCCCTATCATGTTATCCCCTTTCAATGTCAAAAGTTAACAAGCATTACATGTCAAACTTCCAATAGAATTGATTTCCTGTCCTGCCTAGCACTGATTTTGAATGAATTGATTCTGTAAAATTGATTCTAGCTAAAAGTGAGTTGAAGATAAAGTGATTTATGTTTTGATAAATTTATATAGAAGTGAGTTGAATGGTAAATTTCAATGTCAAACTCAAAAGCTACAAATTCTAGTTTCAAGTAGAATCAATTCTACTTTAGAAGAACCAATCACCTCAAAATCACTCCAAAATCAGTTTTACACCTCTAAAATTGCTTTTGTCTCTTCCAAAAACTAAGCCAAATATACACTAGTAAATAAAAAACAGCCACTCAAAATCCCAAAATGCAAAAGATTAGGGTAAGACCTAATTGGATTGACTTATTTAAGCAGCATAAGCAGTAGTTGTAAGACTGTTTAGAGGCTAATTAAACAATTTATGTTGTTAGTTTTCAGCTTATGAACATAAGTACTCTAAGATAGCTTATGAAAATTGTTTATAAATTATAACATATAAAAAACAGCTCGACATTATAGCTTAAAAATAAACACTTATATGATAACCGCTTATACTATAAATACTTCATCGAGTCATTCAACTTACTGCACTTACACAATCAAACAAGGTAAAAAAATATCATCTAAACTAAAATATTGTGCCCTCAAACTATTCTCAAATCTTCAAACCTAATGCTAAATTGCTACTTAAAACTCTAAATATCAATATCTTAACTCTAATTGAGAATCTCAAGCGTGCAATGACCAAAATTAAGTTACACTAGTATTACTTGAAGCGCGGACACCATAAACACGACCTGACACCGACACTGACACGGCGACATAGGGCAATAATTTTTAAAAAATGAATAAATTAAACATAAACAGAAGTGTCCATGCATGTGTCCGACACATATACAAACACACTTTTCTTCGGAGGTGTCGGTGCTACATGGCTAGTATATCATAACATGTTTAGAAAAACTAAACTACCAACAAAAGCGCATGCAAAATTCATATCCGACCATAACATAACCATTGAATTGTACAAAACATCAGAAACAAAACAGAAAAAGGATACACCAGATAGCCTCCATGAACAAAAGCCCCGACCAACACAGCTGTAAACAAACGATCTCTCAGAACAGGTTTACTCCGCAGCGACAAACGAACTGAAATTATATAAAAAAAATTAAAAACAGAAATTAATGAATGAATAAACAATAAAATATTTGAATAAAAGGGGACAAAATTGAAGGGAATGAAAAAAGAAACTAACTTAGAGGTAGAACAGGGGCATATATTAGAGGCAAAAGGAACTTGATTGGGGCTCCATTGTTCTTCTTTCTTATAACAGGTTCTCTATAGCAGTTATGAAAGGGAAAACGTGAAAAAGTTAATCATGGAGATGAATACGAAAAGTGAACAATTAGTGAATGGAAGGGTAAACAGTACTGGTTGAAAGGATCAAACGGCGACGACGATGAAGACTGCGGCGGCGCCATGGGTTTGGGATCGATCGAGATCGAGAGTTGTCGATGATTTTTCACGATACAATGAATAACAGCGATCGCTTTTTTCTTTTTTTTCTTTTTTTTAAAGATATATTATTAATTATTAATTATTTTATTTTTGTTTAATTTTTTATAATAAATAACTAAAGTATGATCGGTCTATAATTATACAACAACAACTACTAAGTTTTAGCCGAGTAAGAAGAGTCGTTACACATATATTATAATCGTTATATTTTATCAAAATTATTAATTTTGAGATTTTTTAAATAATATTTTTATTGTTTTTTTTAGTCTTTCTTTTTTTTTTAATTGTTTTTTTCTCTATATCTAGTCTATTATTTCTACTATAAAATTTGTCGATCTTCTATTTATATGTGCAAACCACCTAAGTTTATTTTTCATCCTCTTCTTCATTATAGGTGCTATTCTGACAATCTCTAATATTTTAATTTCTAATTCTATTATATCGAGTTTTATCATACATCCAACGCAGCATCCTCATTCCTGTTATACTTACTTTATTATAGTGTTGAATTACAAAATTGTAGGTCTTACCACAGTCTGATAAAATTTTCCCTTCAACTTGAGCATTAGCTTTGCATCACATAAAACATTGGATGCTCTTCTCCATTTCAGTCACCCAACTTGAATTCGATAATTTACATCCCCTTCTATTTCTCCATCATTTATATTATGGACTCCAAATATTTAAACGGTTACTTGAGGTATAATATGGTCTCTAATTTTCACCTCTAGGTTAAAAACATTTTTTCTTTTGTTGAGCTTACGTTCCATATACTCCATTTTACTTCTACTAAGTGAAAATCATGTGTTTCTAAAGTTCATCTTTAAGTATTCAACCTTTCATTTAAATCTTCCTTCAACTTTCCAAAAAGAACAATATTATCTATAAAAGCGCGCATCTCGATGTTATGAGTCCATGATTATATTAGACTTTAAAAATGACAATTAAATAAAAATATTTTATAAATGAGACAAATAATAAAAACTTAATATTTTTTATTTGACAGTATCATAAAAAATAGTAGTGATAGTATGATAATCTTTGGATATTTGGTTTTATGTTTTGGAGCACTTAGAATTGATTTTGAATGTGTAAAATTGATTTAAATTCTAATATATTTGATTGCTATTGAGTAAAATTGATTATGTTTTTAGATAAGAAAGAATATGAAAATCAAATGGTCTTGAAGGGGTTGAATAGGTCTTCCCTTAATACCCATTCTTAAAAAAAAATCAAAAATCAAAGTTTTATAAATGAATGTGTAGATTGCACACGGAAGCAAAACATAGTTGGGGTTTTATTAAACATATGATTGAATGAATAACACATTTCATTTAAAATATAAAAAGTCACAACAGTGAGAATAATTAAGTTGCTTTAACATGCAATTCAACAATTATCATGATTCAATTTTCATACACGACTCAAATTGAATTTAATTAATCGACTGATCAATCTATCAACAAAAGTTTATGGAGTCATAATTTTCAGAAAGAATATTAAAATGACTAGATCAATCACAAGCTTAAGTTTATACAATAAATCACTATAAGTAGATAAAATTTATCAATATAGATTCTATAAAGATGGTAAAGAATCTAAACATGCAAACTATACAAAAATATAAAGACATATGAATAGATAGATTTATACACCAGATTTATATTGGTTGATCACTTTCGTCCTCGTTTTAAGCATAGTCCAATCTTCAATGACGAACCATTGGAAATTCATAAGGTCTACCAATATTTTACAAATTAATATACATAGTTTTTTGTACAACGGATAATCTAGATAACATTGAATACTTTAAAGCCAAGTAATGTGAGTGCAACTTTCTGTTATATGTATTTTGCATGATGTCAAAACTAGGATACTTTAGCGTTGATGTATATTGGATGATATCCTCTGATTCTCAATGTGTATCTTAGCATTAGGAAGCATAAAAACATTTTGAAAAAGGTTCATGCATAAAAAATGCATCAAAAAGAAGTTTTATCGGAAAAATAACCTATGTGTCGACACATAGAAGAAAAAAAAATTTATGTGTCGACACATGTACTGCATTTTTAAAGTTTGTAGGCTCTATTAGATGTGTCGCCTCTACAGGTCGACACAAAACTTGTACAGGTCAACACATGAGTTGTTTAGGTCGGCACATGACCTTTACAGGCCGGCTCATGAATTACACAGGTCGGCTCATGACTTACACAGGTCAGCTCATGCAACATATTTTTCTAAAAATTCACAAATTTTATAATTCTCTCTAAACACGTGAGGAGCGGACGTTTGCATCATATGGAATGGATTTACGAATCAACATTCACGTGAAAATGCCACATATCTCAACTCAACGGTTGTCATGAAGCATTGTGTTGCATCATCTTAAAACAAAATATCAATCATTTTTGAAAAGGTTTTAGCTCCAACAGTAACTCCAGATGTGGGTATTAGCTAAGCAGTGGCTCCCTAAACGGCATGAGTAAAGTTCAAAGGCATCCCATTGATGATGGGGTTGGGAATGAGAACTGAAAGCCTTGAGGTAGTTCCTTGCACAAGAACATTGTTGTTTGCGGCAGCGGTCACAAGCGGTTCTTTTTCCTTTCTAGCCATAGTTATGGCTTCGAGAATCTGGTCAATCTTGCCTTTGATTGAGTCCAAACCCTCTTTGAAGGCGGCTTGCTCTTATTAAATCTGATCTATCATTTGTCTAGTGTTGGCTCGAGTTCTGTACTGGTGTTGAGGAATCAACTTGATTTATTGGAGATGAAGGAATGTGAAATGAGTTTCTGCTTTTGGAATGAAATGCAAGATGCATAACTGATGCAATGCAATGTCATGACATGTATGGATGTAATGCAAGATGCAAGATTCCAGGATCACAAGTTCAATCGATTCTGAGGTTGGTCAAAGTAAAGGGTAAATAACCAAAGTCTTTAATCAAAGGAACCCCATAGGTAGATTCTAAAACGGATAGGTACCCAGAGTCATGGATATGTTTCAAATATATTATGGTCATGACGAAGGCTCATCATACGATAATATCCTTGAAACAATCTCTTCTAGGTGAGGTTTTTGTATCTTCCCAACAATGAAGGCTTATCATAAGCTTCAACTACATAACCATCGACACAAGGGTTCTAAAAAGGTTCTCAGAGTCATAGATCGAGGTTAAAAATATTATTGTCAGGAGGTAATACGTTCAATGGATCTCATCTGATTGGGGATTTCGTATTAACCCAACAAGGAGCGACCCTCATGAGTTAACACTACCAACCACATGGATAGAACGGGTTAAAAGGTCCTTAGAGTCAACGATTCAGGCCTGAAAACATCATCGCCATGATGAAGGCTCATCAAAACAATAACATTTACAAGGGAATCTACTCTAAGCGGGGTTTTCGTATCGTCCTCACGAGGAAGGCTCCTCGCAAGTCTCTACTACACAACCATCATCCTAATCATATGGTTTTCCTCAAACTCGGGTAGAGAGTCTATCTCACAAAGCACCTATAATTAGAGAAACCCAACATTGTCACAATAAGCAATAGTAACACAAATATAGGATAGGCAAGTAAAAAACGAGAACAAAACAAATAAGTGAAGCTAACAATCATCATAACTCGTACTAAGTTAGGCTTGACTCTCTCTTACATGGAGCAATGTGGGTTCCCCAACAGAGTCGCCAGCTCTCGTACCTCAAAAAAATGATACGACCTTCGCAATGGAACGCGGAAAAAATGGTTCGAACATAGTCGTCATCGAACTTTATTCATTCCAATGACATTCAGTCCTCCTTGGTGTCGTGGCGGTTACGATCTCCATGAGTAAAAAAAAGAAAAAAAACCTAAGTTCCCAAATCTATGCCATTACTTAGAAGTTATAAGGCAAGTATAAAAGAAAACGCAAATAAAAAGAGAAGAACGAAAAGGTCTACATTGGATTCAGGTATGTTGTTTGGATTCTTGCTCCTCGTCTCAATATTTCTGCTTCATCTCCAATTATGTTCTATGATTTGCGTACGGTTTGTGGGTATGGTTGTGATTTAGGTTTGAGGTGGTTGTAATGAGTGGAAGAAGGATGTTGGTTGGGGTTGTGATTTGTGGGTTTTATTGTGGTTGTTGTTGGAGTAATTATAGGTTTGATTGAGAGAACGAAGACTTAAGGATTTGTGAAAGTAAAAAAAATATTGAGGTTGAAGGTTTGGATCAAAATTATCATCGTAACGATGGCTCTGAAGCTTGAGGAATTGAGGAATGAAGAGGCTTGTATTTATTGAAAAAGTGGGTGAGTGATTTGGAATGGAATTATTGTGACGTATTGTCATTTTGTGAATTTTCTCGCGTTTTAGATTGTGTCATTTTGGAGTTTGCTTGCGTATTTTGCATGTATTGGAATTGTGTTGTGATGCATATTTTGTGTTGAATCCGTTACTGTAGGTTGTGAGGTTTGCGTAGCGAGTGTTGTGGTATTGTATGGAAAGGTTGCTTGATGTTGCTTTGTGGCTCGCGTGGTTTTGGTTTATAAATGTCGTGTAGTATAATGGTTTTGTGTTGATCACGTTGTTGTGGTGGCTATTGAAGGTTAGGCATAATGGATGAAAAGGCTTGTATGTACGTTGGGTGGAGTGGTATATGTAACACCCATTTTAATTATTTAGTCATTTTATTATTATTTTAAATATTATATGTTGATGTGCCATTTGGTAGGGTGTATTTGATGATGTTTGGTGGGTGTCCCTGAGATGAGAGGATCATTGGTGGTAATTTGGTGAGTTTATAATAATATAAGAAATAATAGTAATATTGGTGGTGGTATTATTATTATTATTATTATTATTATTATTATTATTATTATTATTATTATTATTATTATTATTATTATTATTATTATTATTATTATATTTATGATTATTATTAATATTTGTAGTAATATTATTAATATGGAGAATATAATATTATTA